TATCCTACGCAACGCGAGTCAAAGATGATATTAAGAGGATGCAGCTGAAGGATGCACTCCAGTGAGACCGAGCTCCAAATTCTAGAAGGGTAGATAAAGTAAGATTAATGAACGCGAACTTCTAAAAACGGAGAGTTTCTGTATACGTAACACATAAATCTCATTTACTTATTTCATGAATTTACGAAATATCGAACACCACTTGAATATAATTTGCAAATCTAATAATGTAGAACCACTTTAATAAATTTTCGACAAAACATCCTAGAATTTAAATATTCTGCAGGGATAATTAATGTCAACACGTTGGTAGGTAGCTTTGTGTCCAATTAATAGTGTGCGCAATCATTACTGTGTCCAAATTTACTCTGTGATACTCTGCTTGTGCGCAATCCACTTGTGTCCAATTCTACTTGTCGAGGTGGGCAGCTGTGTTCCCTGGGAAACTGTAGATATGGAGTTTTCCACGCAACGCGAGTCAAGATGATCCCCATAAAAAACTTCAAACAAGTAAAAAAATTACGCCAAGTACATGAAAAACTGGAGGACTTAAGGAGTTATCATAGAAAAATAAAAAATCTCCATAAAAAATTACAAGAAAGTAGAAAAAGATGTGAAATCAAAATGAGCAGCCAGTACATTGTTACGTATACAGAAACTTTTCGTTTTTAGAAGCTCGCGTTCATTAATTTTATTTTATCTACCCTTCTGGAATTTGGAGCTCGGTCTCACTGGAGTGCATCCTACAGCTGCATCCTCTTAAGATCATTTTTGACTCGCGTTGCGTGGGATACTTTCTAATCTACCCTTTTCCCAGGGCACACAGCCTTCGACCTAGGAGCAACGAAAATCCCAACCGTCAAATTTTTTAATATGGAAATCACTGGCGGTTCCCCACCAACATTTAGGGGTATATAAACCCACGATTTTCGTTGCTCGGGGGCTAGTACGAAAGAGTTACTCGTTAGAGACACATTGATCGTCTGTAGAGTAGTACTCTAGTGAGATCGTACTTCAGTTCCTTTCGATCATCGTTACCATATAGATCCGCGAAGACGGTTTTAAAATCTATTACGGCCATAAAAGTAGTCTCGACCCTTGCATCGCCAGTGCGTCAACACCGCGCAAATACTTAGGTAATCTTAACTTCATACAATAACCGCGACAACACGACACTGCACACTTGTAATTAGTATAGTTATTTTTGAATATATACTCTTTGTGTAAACTTACAAGTCTGTAAGATCAATCATCAAACCTTTACTTTGAAATCACCATCATCCTAGCCAGTGTAACGATCCCACAACGAAATAACTTTACCGCTCGAGTTATTATTCTATTAAATTAACAAGTTGCGAGGCTTTAATAACACCGCGTGTTACATTTTAACGATACGATTTAGTCATTGTATACTCAACCCGAACTCCTAAACTTAACCTATCCTGCGGTTACCCTTTACTGGGAGATACCGGTTCCTGCTAGCTATCTGACTTCGCGCCAGAGTCGCTGCACTTTTTCCAACAACCTCACAGTTCGAACCTTACCCTACGGTTACCCTTTACTGGGAGATACCAATTCCCAGCAGCTACCTGACTTCGCGTCAGAGGCGTTTGCGTTTGTCTCCAATAACCAAGACAACCAAACACCTTAACCTACGGTTACCCTTCACTGGGAGGTACCGATTCCTGCAACTATCTGACTTCGCGTCAGAGTCGTCTGCATTATCTACTCTATCCTCAAATCTTCGGCTCCATCAACGGTGGTTTCCTAATCTAAACTCATCTTTGACAGTTCACCAGAATTCCTGACCAACTCTCACCTTTGGATCGGGTCAAACTAGTACGGGACAAGCGCCTGTGCTTCAACTGTCTCCGGCAAGACTCGATAAAGGTGTGTCGCACGAGGCAAGGATGCAAAAAGTGCTTTGATAAACATCACACCATGCTCCATGGAGGAGCGTTGATGTTTACGGGGCCTTTTGAAGACCAGACCAGCTCATCCCCGACCAACGCAGGCGCATCATCGAGTATAGCTCAATAAAGATCCGGCAATGTCGTCAAGCCTGATCAGCTCAATCCTGAACGGCTCAACTCTGCCAGCTCAACTATCTTGGCTACAGCTCAAACCACAGTCATCTCAGCCACAAACTCACATGTTATTCGTTTCCTCATAAATCCTGGATCAGAAATCTCGTTTATCTCAGAGAGTTTAACCTGTCAGCCTACCTGCACAGGCAGCGCTCTAACATCTCAATCATCGGCATTGGTGGAACCAGAGCCACTCGTAGTGCAGTGACGATCATCCTACACTCAGCACAGGCAGCGAAAACAGTAACAATTTGAGCTCATGCTCTGTCCACAGTTTCCACCATATTACCATCTTTCATGGCAGACGTTCCTGACTGGCCACACATTAAGAATTTGAGACTGGCAGATCAGGGCTTCCTCACACCACGGCCAATTGATGTTATTATTGGAGCAGATTTCTATGGAGAAGTAATCATGGCCAACATCATCAGGGGACCACCATCAACTCCAATTGCCTAACTTTCCATCCTTGGTTGGCTAATTCTTGGTTGCAAGGTCTTTGGTTTGCAAGAACTGCTCACAAGATTCTGATTCCAGGAGGAGCCCCCATCAGTCAGCGACAGCGCATTGATACCAGAAGAAGAGGAATGCGAAGCTCATTTCTGGTCAACTCACTATCGTGAGCAGACAGGGAGATACGTTGTACGCATTCCACTCATAGAGCCAGCAACCCTGTTTGGAAACTCATACAAGACAGTGCAGATGTGTCTTCATCGGACTCTTCAGCGATTTAAGAAGAATCCTGATTATCAACAACTGTATTCGAACTTTATGCGGGAGTACGAAGATCTCGGGCACATGGTGAGGGTGACAGCTCATCTGGAAGACCAACACCAAGCTATTGACAGCGTTGAACCCGAAGGGGGGATGACCTTGGCACATGATGCTTCGGCATCAGGAGGGTTGAGGGTCTCTTCTGAGGGTTCGACGGCTCAATCCCGAGCTCACTTCCATCCATTCTATTTATCTCACCATGGAGTTCTCAAGGAAGGCAGCGCAACAACGAAGCTCAGGGTTGTATTTAACGTTTCCAAAGTCATCACATCAGGCAGATCAGTCAATGATCTTATGCACACTGGTGCCAATTTGTTGCTCAACGTTTGTGATGTGCTCATTTGGATCCGTCATTATCACCATTTGTTTGCCACAGATATCACCAAAATGTATCGCCAGATAGCTCTCCATAGGGACGATTGGGACCTCCAACGCATTCTGTGGGTTGATGAACAACATAAAGTGGTTCCTTACCATTTGACCACCGTCACCTATGGAATGAAGGCAGCTCCATTTCTGGCAACGCGGACTCTTCAGCAACTGGTCCAAGATGAAAGTCACAGGTTTCCATTGGCCGTGCCTTGTCTTACTCATGGCAGATACGTGGATGACATCTTTGGCGGAGTAGACAGCGTCGACGAACTCATCAATGTGGCTAACCAACTCATAGGACTGTGTCACGCGGGCGGATTCCCTCTCGCTAAGTGGCACGCAACGCATCCTGAGGTTCTGAAGGCGGTGACTTCAGACATGCAACAATCAGCCATCATCTCGTTTGATGACGACGCCACTAAATTATTCGGAATTCAATGGCTGCCGCAAACCGCCAGATTCGGTTTTACAACGAAAATTGCAGATCAACCGAATAAGCTCACGAAACGACGCATTCTATCCGACGTGGCTCGGATATTGGATCCATTAGGCTTCGCATCACCTGTAATAGTACGAGCGAAGATGCTATTACAAGAGCTCTGACTGCATAAAGTCAGGTGAGACGAAGAGTTACCGTCCCCTCTCACAGCAAGATGGCTGACATCAGAGAAGATCTCAACAGTCTGGCCAGACTCTCAATACCACGATGATTTCGCACCTGCAAGGACTCAACGGTGGAAATCCACGGCTTCTCTGACGCATCTCAACTCGCCATGGCGGCAGTAATTTACATTACTGTTTCTACACCGTCCACACGCTCAGTGACGTCACTAGTTTGCGCGAAGACTAAGGTCGCGCCTCTCAAGAAACTCACGATTCCACGGCTAGAACTCACCGCAGCGCTGCTTCTCACAAAACTTGCGAGATATGTTTCAGATAATCTCCACGTACAGCTCAAGGCTACGCATCTACGGACGGACTCAAATGTCACACTCACGTGGATCAAATCACAACCAGGACGTTGGAAAGAGTTTGTCAGGAACAAGGTATCGCAAATTCAAGAACTCGCCCCTGACGCACAATGGAGTCAGCCCCTTGCTGACTGCGCATCACGGGGCATCTCGACAGATCAATCTCTCAACCTCTGGTGGGAGGGTCCACATTGGCTGACGCAGTCAACAGAACATTAGCCAGCTCAACCAGCGCACGTAGAAGCAGTGGCAGAATTAGAAGTGAGACCCATCGTCTCTCTCATCGTCACAGCTCCAAAGTTAAGTTATCATTGGGATCTCATTTACAAATATTCTCCAACGTCTTCAGGCAATCTCCAAATGGCATCACCCATCTCATCAGCTCAAAGTCGGCGCACTGGTACTGATAACGCACGAACACTTGCCTCCCAGCAAGTGGTCACTTGGCAGAGTCACTGCATTACACCCTGGGAAGGATGGACTCTAGAGATAGAGTCGCTACACTCAAGACAGCGACAACATCACTGGTGCGACCAATCCACAAACTCATCATCTTGCCGACTCGCCAGGAAACAGAGGATTCAACATCTCATCAACAATGACTTGTTGATGGCGGGCGGAATGTTTGCGAATCGGCTTTCAAATGACGCGCCAAGAGGCTGCCGGCGTCCCATCGATCAGTCATCGATCGACAGCGTGGGCTCTTGTCCAGCAGACAAGATTTCGGCCGAGTTTCGGAACGCGCAACGGACGCGTGCTCGCGCCACGTGCGCTGAGCCGCCATTGTAAATCTAATATTCAAAGTAAACGGATCGCGACCAGACTTTTTGGACATTTTTACCAGCCTACCTCAAGTTCAGCTCAAATTCATAGTTAAACTCATCCCGGGGTACGGTAAGGTGAAGTTCAGCGCATCAGTGCACCAATTCAGCAACCAGCAGGCGGCTGAATTTATATATTAAGGTTGCGCAGGAAACCCAGCAAAACTCTGAGTTGACTTCAGCGACAGTTGCGGAGAAAGTAGGAAGCTCTGGGACAAGGATAGATAGATCCTTGTTTCTCCAATGATGCTGTGACAGAGAGGGAAATACATGAATCGGAGGAGAGACAAAGACAGAATGATGTCAAACGTTTGCAATTTCCCAAACAGTTATTGGAATTTTATGAGGCGAGGAAGCGACCTTTCCGGCTGATTTTTATTTTAAACTGTTCCTTATAAAATTCCGTTGCGGAGGATAGTTACACATTTTGCAATTCGTTTTTGAAACGTGCTAAAAATACATGTAAAGACAAGACATTTTTTGTGGGTCTTTTTCCAAAAATTTTTAACTATCCCCCGCAACAGCATTTTACGAGGAACAGTTTAAAAAAAAATCAGACAAAAAGGGTTGCCTCCTCGCCTTATAAAATTACATTGGTGTTGTCGCCACGATTGAGACGATTCATATGCCAGCATAGCTGCCTCAATATCGTGGTTTCCACCGCAGCGCTGTCGTCGTCTTCCTTTCTGTTACCGTGTCGACCATCTAAACACGCTTTTCGACTTGATTCGCAGGTATCGTAGTCGACTGGGTTTTTTCGCGCACGCGCAGCAAACATAGCATCAATGAAGTAGACGCATGACTAAAAAGGTGTATCTCAATTACCCCTGCATAATTTTACAAATATATTCATGATGTATGACAATATATAATTATAGACAATATATAAATAATAAGGATAAATATATTCATGGTTTCGCGCTCATAGCCACAATAGCTATAGCACCCCACACCTGTTGCCCTGGATACGACACTGTTAACGGTCATTCTGGCAGTACATGGGCAAAAAAACTTGGCCTGGCTGGTATCACTGATCGTAGTACCGTACATAAGATATCGCTAGTTCGATCCCAAGCTGCTGTGTATTCTTTTTATTCTAATTTTATACTTTGTTCGGTTGCCGAACATCTTGTATAGTTTATAAAAAGAAAAAATTTTGATATAAGAGGTAATATGAAATATAAAATACAAACAAATAGCCGAATACTTTCCTGTTTCGTTGTATGTATGTTGTGTTTGGTCTCATTGTAATCCTAAAAATCTTACAAATACATTAGAAAAAGTCAGATTTTAAAAAATAAATAAACAAAAAAGTTTTATTGGTACATTAGTATTGTCTCGCGCCTCCCGATATGTTTTGGTTCCTAGCTTCGTGCCTTGGGTCTCTCTCTCTCTCTCTCTCTCTCTCTCTCTCTCTCTCTCTCTCTCTCTCTTTCTCGCGCGCGCGCGAGACAGTTTGATGAGAAAGGAAGAGAGACTAACAAGGGAACGGACCCAGATATGACGCTAACTTTTGTTGATCCTTTGCACAGTGGAAAACTGAAGCGAATGATATTCAGTTTTGGGGGTAGACGATTTATAGTTTACATCGTAAACTTTACGAGATATTCAACGTTGAAGTTATTATTGGTGCTTACTAGGTGAATTATAAGCGACTGTACCAATAGCGAATTCGGCGTGGTCAGTAAAGCATCAGCATAATAATTCCTCTGTCGCGAGTTCGAGTCCCATTGAAACGTTCTTACACTATTTTTTTTTCTCTTTCTTTTAAAAATACATTCGTTAAATATGACATATTTATAACTAATGTTCGGATATATTTTTTAAAACAAATAATTTCCATTTTGAATGTATGATGTACATGAACTTGGGTGATAATTTTTGAAAAAGCAGTGGAAACAAAAAGTGTAATCACCATGTACACCGAATGAATGCTTTAGATTCACAACTACAAAATTGTTTATTTAATTCTACTGGGAATACCGCTTGATTTACGTTAAGGGAGTGGACTCCCGTGCCTTGTATGCGCTCGTACGCACTCACACAGCTCCACACCACTGTATACGTACACGGAACTGCAAGGGTTCCGCATTGTCCTATTTTTGTCTCGACAATGGAGATGCGAGACCTCTCAATAGTCGTTCCTGCTAGATAAATGTTCAAGCTAGAGCGCAAGCTCCCATAGAGACTCTACTTTTGCTCTATTCTGTCATAATTAACAATATTCAGCAGCATGATGCCGACCATGAAAGCTAGCGAGCAGCCGTGCCGAGACACACGCACACATGCAACACCCGGTGGCATGTCCGTGTGCCTACGAATAGGCTGCGTGATGACACGATACCTGAAAGTAAGGGTCTAACGGCTAGAAGAAAAATTATTGTAAATATCATTGTAATCAGAAAAATGTCACAAATGTAATATAGCAAGTCTCGCTTATTTGGCAGAGTCTAGTCGATATTTACAATAATTCTTCTTCTTTCCTATACCTGAAAGTAATTTATGACTACAACAGGAGGAGGACAATACAACTAAAAATAATGTCAATACTGTAAAAAAATTTTTTTATTTATTAAAATTTTTTTTTCTGTCTAACTCCTTTGGAAGACATAGACATTCCACCCCCCCCCCTCACTCCATCCTCCTCTTCCTCTTCCTCCTCCTCTTCCGCCTCTCCGCCAATTATGTTTGTACATATTACCGCGAAGGCGGCGTAACATTTTGTTCTGTGAAAAGTGAATGAAAATCTAAAAATAACATATTTGAGATTGTTGATGTAATTAATATATATTTAGGGTAACTTACCATTTTCTTCTCCAAAACGTCCAGTTTTTGTGTGGTGTGAGAAAGAGAGAGAGAGTTCCGAGCAGTAGCGATAGTTACATGTCCGTTAGTAGATCCGCGAATTGTAAGGAGTAATAAATATTTATACCATATTATACCTATAAAACTTTATTGAAATCAATAAGAATTAAAAATGAACTACAACACGATAATATCGTTAACTTACAGACCTATTTACATCTAGGAGATATAAAAAAGATATGACATGAAAATTTGTTTAGAAAATGCTCTTTCATTAATTGTTATATAATTAATTTAATATTTATATTTTATTATAATTATTTTTAAAAGTACATCCATGATCTGGAATAAAATACTTCAGTTTTATAAATACATGCATGATCCGACGTAAAATATTTTTTTACTATTTACTATTTACTATTTAAAATACCTATTTTATCCAGCTCTGAGCCCAGTCTCGTTCAAAAAGCGCTCGTCCAGATCATGACTTTCTCTTGTGAGCTGTTGGACGTTTTCGAAACGACTTTTTCTCCGCGTCGTCCATTATCATCTCGAAGATAAACATTCCAAATGATTTGCTATTGAAACAGAAAGATAAGGTATATTATCAAAATGCGGAAAAAAATGAAAGGTATAATTCAAGATTTAAAAATTAAAATTCCTCTCTTCTGCTTACCTTGCCAGCTGATGCTCGTTCGCCGAGTCGTCCTCGTCTCCTTTGGAAGACATAGACATTCCCCCCCCCCCCCCCCCTTCACTCCATCCTCCTCTTCCTCTTCCTCCTCCTCTTCAGCCTCTCCGCCAATTATGTTTGTACATATTACCGCGAAGGCGGCGTAACATTTTGTTCTGTGAAAAGTGAATGAAAATTTAAAAATAACATATTTGAGATTGTTGATGTAATTAATATATATTTAGGGTAACTTACCATTTTCTTCTCCAACTCTTCAATTTTTTTATCCTGGTCCGGTGTCGGACCAGGTGTTGGCGCCAGTGTTGGCGCTGC